CGTCCAGGGAGGGGGCCGCGCCCCTTACCACGACCCCACCCGCGACTGGTCCCCCGGGACTCCCCGGAGCGCCCACCTCAGCCCTGACCGCAGCACAGCCTTACTTCTGAGACCCACTGAGCCCCGGGCCTCCAGACTCCTTCCCCAGTATCACAGGGGGGCCCTCTGTGAAGGGGGCTGGATTCAAACTTCTTAACCCGCTGTGCCATCGGGAAGGAGGGTGGTAGCCTCCCTGAACCTCGATTTCCTCTTCTGTACAGGGGGCTCCGTGTTGTTCCTGCCTCCTAGACTTGAGGCAGAGAGAACATACTTAACTGGACGCCTGGTGTGGCGTCCTCCCCTCTCCCTGGCTTGTTTCCTCGTCTGGCCAACAGGGACAAGGATGGACTCTTCCTTTAAGGGTCTTGAGAAATCGCTGAGGGCTCTGGGCCTGCTGGCGCGAGGAGGCTGAGCCGGATCTCAGGAAGGGTGCTGCAGGGCTTGGTAGCAGGAGGGAAGGAGGGGCCGTGGCTGCCAGTGGGTCCCTGTGCTGTGGGCCACGAGCTTGGTGGGGGTGGTAGCGACTCACAACACACGGAGGCAGGGGCAACCTGTCCCCATTTCGCAGATGGGAAGCCTGAGGCTTTGGCTTCAGGGAGTTCTCAGTGCCCATCCCTGGGGATCCTTAACCCTTGCTCTCAGGGCCCTACCTGGTGACCTCAGTGGGGGCGTGCAGTTAGGGAGGGGTGTTCTCCCTTGGGGGACAGCCACCAGGCAGGGCAGAGCCACATAGTGGTGCCAGGGCGTCATTGCTTTGCTCTCACCTGGGGCAGGGGTAGGGGCTCCAGGGTGCAGAGACAAGTGGGGTATGTGGCAAGACCCCAGCCCAGCCTTGTCTAGCCTCTCCCTGGACCCCTGACCCTGTTCTAGCCTGGGTTGTGACCCCTGAGGTGGTTCAGAGCCTCCTCCCTCGCAGCAGCCTGCAGCCCTGAGGACCTGTCCAGGGCCTCCACTAGGCAGCAGGGCCAGGCCACGTGCTGTTGCCTGTGGGGTCTTCCTAGGTCCTTGGCAGCTGTGGGCGTGAGGGGTTGGTCAGCCCCTCAGGGAGAGGCCCAATGCTGTGGCTTCTCCAGCGCTTTTCCTCCTTCCTTTCTGTAAACATGAACTCGGCTCCCCCGCACAGGGACATCCTGCCGTCCCAGGAGGGACCCAGGTGTTTGTGTGCTGTTAGCACGCGGTGGCTTCCCTCACCCACACTCAGAGCCTGTGCTCCCTCCAGCTGGGCAGGGTGGGGGCTGGCGGGACCAGGGGCAGGATCCTTGTCTCCACCTTTACCTCCTGCTGGAGGTCCCACCCCACCATCCGTTCTTTTTTTTTTTTTTTTTTGAGGCGGGGTTTTGCTCTTGTTGCCCAGGCTAGAGGGCATCTCGGCTCACTGCAACCTCTGCCTCCTGGGTTCAAGCGATTCTCCTGCCTCAGCCTCCTGAGTAGCTGGGATTACAGGCATGCACCACCACGCCTGGCTAATTTTTTTTATTTTTGTTTTTAGTAGAGATGGGGTTTCTCCACGTTGGTCAGGCTGGTCTCGAACTCCCGACCTCAGGTCGTCTGCCTGCCTCAGCCTCCCAAAGTGCTGGGATTACAGGCATGAGCCACTGCACCCACCATCTGTTTTAACCTTCCCAGAACCACACAGTGGACAGATCCTGAGGTGTGGCGCTTGCTCGGAGCCCGTGAGCACTGGCTGCCACCCAGGGTGTGGAGGGCAAGCAAGGAGGAGCCCACGGTCCCATGCAGCCACCCTCCGAGTCCAGGGGCCCAGGCCTCAAGCCCTCCCTGCGCCTGGGCTGAGACTCCAAGGGCCTAGCCTGCCTGGTGGGCAGCAGGGAAGGGGGTGCTGGGGCTGGGGCAGGGGCACAGGTGAGAGGGGGTGGGTTGGGGAATGGAGAGCTCTGCTGGACAAGGGACCCTGAAGTGCCTTTCCTTGGGTGGTAGACAGTAGTGACAGGGCTGGGCTTGGGTTGAGTCTAGGGGGCTGGAGGGTCTGCTAACAGCTGGGTCACAGCCGGAGGGAGCTTGGGTCACTTGTGTGGCCCCTTGTGCTAATGGGGTAACAAAGAGGCTGGCACCTTGTACAAGGTCTGCCAGCCTTTCCGTAGAGAGGGAAGGAGGCTGCGTGCTCCTGGAACCCCCTTGCCTGGGAGCTTTGGGGTTGTGAGACCCAGAGAGGGAGAGAGGCAGGCGTGGAGGTGCTTCAGGTTACTGTGGCCCACCTGCACCCTCCCTCTTCAGGGCCCTGTTACGGTGTGAAGCCACTCCTGGCCACCTGTGCTGTCACCACCTTGGCATGTGTGCCTGATGGCTGGCCTGTTGGTGTGGTCTGTCCCCGCCTCCGCGAGCTCCTGGAGGGGCAGAGCTGGCCTGTTTATCCCCTGAGCCTGGCTGAGCCCTGTGTGAGCAGCGGAGACACAGTGGCGGGGGGACACTGGTGGGCAGGGGGCTACTGACAGGCAGGAGACTCTGCAGAAAGCAAGAGGCAATTAGGGTGGCCCACGGCTGCGTGTGGGCCAGGCCCCTCACCTCCCTGTACTGGCAGCTTGAGTGCCTGGGCCCCGTGCCCTGAGGATGGGCCACCCAGAGAGACCTGGGCTCAGATGTTCGCAGTAGCCAAGAATCGGAAGAGGAGAGGGCAGCTGTCCTGGCGTGGGGTTTCCACAGATCACGGCAGGTGGGCAGGGGCCAGGCTCAGGCTTCTTAGGGGAACTCGGCCTGTGTCCCCACAGAGGGACCCATTGTCTGTGTGCTGGGTTCATCATGTCCTCGGGGGTGTGTGTGTCCCTGAAATCCCTGTCCCCCTCTGTCCTCCGTCATGCCCTGCTGGCTGTGTGGTGGCTGCCCTATGGCCTTCAGGCGCTGGGTCAGTCCTGGCAGGAGCCGTGCTTCCTCGTGCTCCCACATAAGGAAACAGACCTAAGAGGGTCATTCACTCAGCATGGTCAGGAGGAGCGCTCTGGGAGAGGTGTCGCCTGTGACTGCGGGCTCAGGGCAGGCATGAACCCCTCGTGGGAGGTACGGCCCCCTGTGACCCCTTTCTATTCATTTTCTTCATCTTCCCCCCAGATGCTGTGTGCTGCGGACCCGCCTGGGGTTCATGGAGTGGGCCACGGGGCCCAGCCCTGAGCACTGCTGTACCGAGGCTCGCCGTGCCTGCTGCTGAGGAGTCCCCACGCTGCTGGCTCTCACCATTGCCCTCGCCTGCCGATGGCCTCTGCTGCCCAGCCTGGGGCCAGCTCTACCGCCTGAGCCCCCTGCCCCCCTCCAGGACTCACCGTACCCCGATGGGGTAACGTGACAGAGGCCCCGCACGTCAGAGGCCGCTGTCCCCACGGCCGCTGCCCGTGACCCCTGGCCCAAGGCTGCTGGAGTTGGTTCAGTTGAAGTTCATTCTTCCTTTGGCCCTTGGGGGCTTGGGGCCCACCTCTGAGTGAAGGGGGCTGTCTGCCCAGCCACCGATGTGGAGAGGGCGCCCCCAGCGTGGGGTCCAGCTCTGGACACTGCTTGGCGGCCGGATTCTCTTTGGGCTTTTAAGTTTTCTTTGCTGAGCTTTTTTTGGTTGTTCTTTTTATTTTTTGCCTCTTTATGACTATCCAGCTGTGAGAGACAGGAGTTTGGCGTTGCCCGCTTTACTTTGGGCGGGGAGGGGGCTGTTTTTTCTCTTTTCTTTTTTAAGACTTGGGTTTTCTTTTTTAATTATCCAAACACTGGGCAGCTTCCTCCCCCACACCTAAGTATTTGCACAATATTTGTGCGGGGTATGGGGGTGGGTTTTTAAATCTCGCTTTTCTTGGACAAGCACAGGGATCTTGTTCTCCTCATTTTTGGGGGGTACGTGGGGACTTCTCAGGACGTGTCCCCAGCCTTCTGTGCAGCCCCTTCTGCCCTGCCGGGCCTGTTGGGAGGCGCCATGGCTCGGATGAACCGCCCGGCCCCGGTGGAGGTGAGCTACAAACACATGCGCTTCCTCATCACCCACAACCCCACCAACGCCACGCTCAGCACCTTCATCGAGGTGAGTGGAGACGGAGGTGTGGTAGGCAGGGGGCCCAGGTATCTGGTAAGCCCGGCTGAGCTGCCTGAGGCCTCCCGAGAGGGGTCCCCAGCCCCCGCTGGCCAGACAGGGCTCACAGCCTTGAAGCAAAGCCCAGTCCCCGTTGCAGGATCCTGGAGGAGAGACATGGGGGTATCCTGGGGGTCAGGGGTGAGGGTGTCGGGGGATCAACTGGGTCCCCTGGGAGGCCTGCAGGGGGCTGGCATGTGATAGGAGGGACTCCATGCCATGTGGATAGAGGCAGGGGGTGAGGCGGGGGGATACATGGGCCAGGCTCTACGTGCTCAGCCGTGGCCTGGGCTGAGGCCCTCCCCAGCCCTTTGCTGTCCTTTTGACCTCTGTGCTTAGGCTGAGCGGGCAGGAGGTGCCCTGGTATGAGAAGTGGCTGCTTAATGGGGAAACAGGCAGACGGGGGACAAGTATGCAGGGCGGCTCCATGGCTAGCCCAGGCTTCCACACGCTGCTGGGCTCTGGGTGAGACCTCAGGTTAGACGAGGCTGGACAGGGGGCTTCAGGGCCCAGATCTCTATGTGAGGAGGGACTGAGCAAAGGTCAGCACTGGCCACAGGAGGGAGGGACCGCTGTGCCCTGGAGAGCCAGCAGAGATGCCTGCCACTGGCAACCCTGGCAGATGGGACCAGATGCATTTACAGAAGCTATTTGGGAGTGGAGTCTGGAGAGACCTGCGTGGCCTCCTAGAGGAGCCTGGTCTCTGCAGAGCGCCCTGCTGTTTGCAGGCCTGGGGCCATTTGCAGAGTCTGCAGCGGTGTATGGGGCCGTTGACAGCCTCTGACTGTGCCAGCTGTGTCAGAGGCTGCAGCTGTGTGCAGGGTCATTTATGACTGAGTCCTTTCCCCTGTGACATGAGATAAGCCATCATGGTCTTGTCATAATGAAACAGGGATTTGGGCATGAGAGGGTATTGAGAACTGTAGAGCAGCAGGACGCATTGGGCACCCTGCCATCAGGGAGCCTGGACCCTGGACACTGAGCCAGGTGCCCTACAGAAGATGGCTGTCCCTCTCACAGCTGAGACCCTTGAGATAACAGCAGGATGTATAAGAAAGATTGGCGAGAACATCATGATGAGTGGCCAGGGTCAGTCCTCAGAATATGACTGGGATCAGGGTTAAGCCTGTAACCAAGGTCAGGTCTCAGTGTGTGACCAAGGTTGGGATTCTGTGTGTGTCCAGGATCAGCACTCAGTATGTGACCAAGGTTGGGGCTTAGTGTTTGACCAGGATCAGTGCTCATGTGTGACCAGGGTCAGGGTTTGGTGTGTGTCTGGGATCAGGGCTCAGTATGTGACCAGGATCGAGGCTCAGTGCGTGTCCGGGATCAGGGCTCAGTGTGTGACCAGGATTAGAGCTTAGTAGGTCAGCAGGGTTAGGGAGGGCTCAGCCTGTGACCAGGGTTAAGGCTTAGTCCAGGATCAGGGCTCAGTGTGCGACCAAGATCAAGGCTCAGTATGTGACCAGGATCAGGGCTCAGTATGTCACCAGGGTTGGGGCTCAGCATGTGACCAGGATGAAGGCTCACAGGTGTGTGACTGTCAAGGCTCAGGATGTGACCAGGATCAGGGCTCAGTGTGTGACCAGGATCAGGAAGGGCTCAACCTGTGACCAGGGCCAGGGCTGAGTCCTAGGCTGGGTGGCCATTCCCTCTGCTGAGGGTGCAGAGGGCCTCTGAGGTACCCCACGGCCAGAGAGCCCAGCACCCCGCCTGCTCCCTGCATTCTCAGATAGTTGGGTATTGGCCTCTCTGTGTTCTAGGTACCCGTCCTGTGACCAGCAAGACCCAGCAGCTGATTCCTCACCCCTCCCAAAATAGCTGTGAGAGCAGGTGGGGTGGGAACAGCCCTCACACGTGACCCCCGTGAAGTGGATCCCCTGCAGTGGGGGTATAAATATCGGCCTGGCTGTGAACTCCCACGACCTTTTCCCTGGTCGTGTGGGGCTTCCCTGGTGGCGTGCAGGGCCCAGCTTCCTCCTGGCCGCCATCTGAGTGGTGCCCACCCTCCCTGCTCTGAGGTGCCCCAGTTGACGCCCGCCCCTCTTAGACCCCAAAGTCCCCCTGGACTGGACCCATCCCTGCGGCTCAGCTGGGGTCGCTGCTTAGATGCAGGGGCTCACATGTGGACTGGGGGGTCCAGTTCCTGCTGCGGGGACCCAGTAGCTTTTCTGGAAGAAATGTCCTTGCTGGTAGATGTGGGGTCCTGAGCACCCCAGAGGAGGGAGTGGTGTGCTGGGGAGCTGTGGTCCCAGCTGCCGGTGACCATGAATGTAGGTGGGGACACCTTTGCCTTTGCTGGGTGGCCCAAGGGACCTGGGACAGGCTCTTTCACACCCAGACACCACCTTGACCAGTCGCGGAGCCCAAAGTCCACTCTTGGTGGGCCTCACTGCATCAGGGTCTGCCTGGCTGGAGGGTGACATGCCCTTCCCTGGGGGCTTCAGGGACCATGCCTCTGCCCCAGGGGACTGAGGGGACAGGATTCCACCCCGAGAGGTCTGAGGGGCCAGGGCTCCACCCCGAAGGGTCTGAAGGGACATGTCCAAGTCCTGGGTGACGGTGGGGGACACAGCTGTGCCCTGGGAGCCCTGGTGAGTGGGTCCTGCTCCCTGAGCACTACAGCCCCAGCCCAGCCTTGCCTCCTCCGTCCTCCCCCCTCAGGACCTGAAGAAGTACGGGGCCACCACCGTGGTGCGCGTGTGTGAAGTGACCTATGACAAAACGCCGCTGGAGAAGGACGGCATCACAGTTGTGGTGAGGCGCGCGCCACGGGGACCCTGGCCACGGGGACCCTCGTCGCTGCTGCCACCGGGGGAGGGTGGGGCGGGGGGCTCTGGGCCTGCACAGAGGGTTTGGTGCCCCTCCTGTGGCAGCCCTGGACATATTTGTGCCTGGGCCACGTGTGTGTCTGGGTACATCAAGGGAAGGCCAGGATGTTGGGCCTTGTGACCTCAAGAAATTCACCCTTGTGTACCCCATCTTTCTGTCTCTAGATCGGGCCAGCCTGGCTCGCCAGGCAGGGGTGGCTGGCACATGCTTGGTGCATGGGCCAAGGTGGGGGTTGGGCTCCTCCGCCTGTCTCAGACCCTCCTTCTGTCCTGTCTTGGGTCCATCTCAGTCTCTGCCCGGGTGGCTGCGGCCCTGTTGCCAGGCAGCAGGTTCCTGGGGAGGACCCTTGGGCAGTTTCCTTGGCTCCTTTGGCCCTGGGGACCCAGGTCTGGGCGGGGTGTGGGGCGGTTCTGCTGCCGTATCCTTGGGGGGTGGGCCACAGCAGCGGCAGGCCCAGAGCCGGCCCCAGGGCAGGGGGGTCCACCCCCGGCCTGGTAGACGACTGCCCCTGGTGCAGGCCCGCCCAGCTGCATCCGGGCCTGTCTCCTCAGTGCGGAGCTTGAGTGACCCCTCAGTCACTGCTTTTCATCCCAGGACTCTGCTTTTGGCTGTGGTTGCTGTTTCATAACCTCAGCTTGGCGGTTTGGAGTGGTGGCAGTGCTGGCGCTTTGGGGTCAGATAGGCCTTGGGCTGCGTCCCGCCTCTGCCCTCCCCAGCCTTGTGACACTGCAGGTCACTCCGAGCCTTGGGTTCCTCAGCTCAAAGCGGGGCTGCTTGGAAGAATGGGAGGTGAAGGCGTGTCCCCGCTTCTCGCGTGGGGTGCACCCACACCCTCCTTCCTCTTCCACAGCAGCGGGAGGGATTGGGGTCAGACGTAAGTAGCCGTGCAGACCACTTGTCTCTAGGAGTTGCCCTGCCTGGAGGCTGGGGAGGGGTGAGATGCCCCCAAAGGCTGTGTGTCTGCTCAGTGGGCCCAGCGGGCTCTCCCTGGCACCAGACAGCCCCAGGCCTGGCACAGTCCCGCGGCCCTGCACGAACTCTCTTTCCCAAGACTGAAACGTGTCCATTCCCACCACAGCGCTCTGGCCCGGGCCCTCCCCTGGGAAGACTCACTTGCCCACCGATCCAGGGCGCTGGGGAACGGGGCAGTGGGAAGCACAGGTCATCTTCTAAGACCAAATTAACCCCCAGGAACAATGGGCCGGGGTCCCAGTGGAACCGCCTGTTTCGAGTGCCCTTGGAAACATGGGCCCTGTCTCGCCCCATAACCCTGTCTTCAGTCCTTCCTGGCACCTGGGCTGTGTGTGGCACGTGCCAGCCGTCTTTGCATGCCACCACAGGGGACTAGACCTCTTGCACCAGCCGACCCAAAACCTGTCAGGCTGCCGCCGGCACACAGGCGTGAGGGATTGTGACCCCAGAACCGGAGCTCGGGCTGACAGGTGTGGGGATTGGATTTGTGTGACTCTGGACGAGGCTCCAGTCAGAAAGGGGTGGGGTGGTCTAGGAAGGCTTCCTGGAGGAGGGGACAGCTGCAGTGTACAGGGAATGATGAGGAGTCTAAAGCACCCACCATGGGGTGCCCATGGCCAAACTGTACACCTCCTGTGTGCCCTCTGGATCTGCTGCCCCCACCCTAGCGGGCTCCTGGGACCCTCTGCCTCTCAGAGCTCCCTGTTCTCACCTGAGCCCCAGGGCCACCTCTCCACTCTCCCGCAGCTGGGGGTCCTCACGTCGCTTCCCTCCGCAGGACTGGCCGTTTGATGACGGGGCGCCCCCGCCCGGCAAGGTAGTGGAAGACTGGCTGAGCCTGGTGAAGGCCAAGTTCTGTGAGGCCCCCGGCAGCTGCGTGGCTGTGCACTGCGTGGCGGGCCTGGGCCGGTGAGTGTTGGGGCAGGGTGGAGCTCGCCGTGTCAGGTGGTTGGGCATCTCGTGGTCTGATAGCCTCGCTTTTGGATGTGGGTCTTGAACACACGTCCATGCGACCTTCCCAGGAGGCCCGTGCCCCAAGTACTGGGGCTCCCAGACTGGTCCTCTCCCGGCATCACAGAGAGGAAGTGCTTCCCAAAGTCTAACCCAACTTCTTCCTGCTGTGGTTGTAACCATCCCGACATCTTGTTCGGGAAAGGGCTGTCGTCCCCCTCTCCAGACACAAAGATCCAGCCCCACACAGCTGGGGCCTCAGACCCCTGCTGGGAGAACGGGAGGAAGAATGGCAGCTGGGATCAGACGAAATGACCAGTGGGACAACCCCATCCGCAGAGGGAAGCCTAGGCGAGCAGGGTTGATAGCAGGCACGGATCCAGCTCTTAGCACTTCACCCGGGAGCCCTTATTTAACCCTCCCCCAGCAGATCGCAGAGAGGTTGCCTAGGAGGAAGCCAGGATTTGGACCCAGTGCTCAGGCTGGGCTCTGAGGCTGTGGCCTCCATGGGGGAGCTTCAGGCAGCAGGGAGTCTGGACCCCTAGGGCCCCCGTGCCCTGCGTCTTCAGCAGGTGCCCTGCCAAGGGGACAGGGGTGCGCAGGCTCCGAAGACCCCGGCCCTTCTGTTTGCCCCCAGGGCTCCAGTCCTTGTGGCGCTGGCCCTCATCGAGAGTGGGATGAAGTACGAGGACGCCATCCAGTTCATCCGCCAGTGAGTGGCCGAGGTGGCGGGTGGGCTGTGAGCGCTGGGGGAGGGGAGATCTGGCTGCCCACGAAGGGTGTTGGTGTTGACTGTGTGGTTCTGTTGCCCTGAGGCTGCGTCGCTCAGCACAAGCTGGGACTTGCTGCAGAAACGGGGAAACCCGAGGTGTTTCTAATGGGTGGGGACAGCGGCCCCTGAGGGACCATGTAGCCACGCAGGGACACAGCGAGGCCACTCGCCATGCCGTCCTGCCCGCCCTCCACAGACGGAGCTCCTTCCTTCCCAACCATCCTGACGGGGGTGGAAGGACCCTCAGCCAGCCGGTTCAGTCCCTCCGTGAAAAACAAGAGCCTGAAACCCCATACCACACCGTGTCCACCCCTAGGGACGCTCACACTGGGCTAGTGTCTCAGAGCTGCTCTGAGTCCAGCTGCTCACCACCCCTTCCCCTCAACCCTGAGCTCTCCAGCTCAGCCCCTCCCCGCCCTCCTTGGAGGCTTCCAGTCCAGCTGGCCTGCCCCATCCCTGTCACTTGGTGGCCTCCCTGGGGAAGGCTGCCATCTGCCCACTGCCCAGGGGGTCCTGGGGGAGTCTGGCCGGGACAGCAGGGCCAACTCTGGAGGAACGGATGCGGCACCTGAAGCCTGCCCCTGCCCAGCCCACCATGTGCGTGCCCATGAGTGCCACACACCCGTGCTACTTGGACAGGCTTGGCTAGCGAGGCCATCTCTTCCTCCCAGAGGTAGGCTTGTTCCCGGCCATACTGGCTGGCCAGCCCTGCGGGTCCGTGCAAGAGCGTGGCCTGCCTTGTGGGTCTGTGTGGGAGCGTGGCCTGCCCTGTGGGTCTGTGTGGGAGCGTGGCCTGCCCTGTAGGTCTGTGTGGGAGCATGGCCTGCAGGTGCTCAGGTCTCCTTGGGGGCCCTGGCATGTGCACGCTCACACACAGACACGCATGGGGGTCATGCAGGCACACACATAAGTACACGTGTGCACACACAGATCCAGACATACGCAGGCACACACGTACAGGCAGGTGTGTGAACACAGGCACATACAGACAAGTGGGTGCACACGTAGACACACATGGATGCACTCAGGCACGTACACACGTGTGCACTCATACATGACATGCATTTTCACACATGCGGGTGCACACAGGTGAGCACGTTCCCTGGGGCCTCTCCTGACCCCACGTCTCACCGAGCCAGGGCTTGTCTCTCCCTTGTGGTTTTTGCTGTGTGGCTCCCTGCACCTGAAGCTGCGCTGGTCAGGACAGGTTGGGCGGTGCTGCAGAAATGGCCAGGCCCAGAACAGCATGGGTGTTTCTTGCCCCTGTTGCGTGTCTGTGGGTGGGGGCCCTACGCGGAGGCCTGGCTGAGGGCTGCGCCTTCCCCAGCCTGCCGGTGGCTGGGCAGAGGAAGCGAGCATGTTGGAGCCACACGGGGTGCCTGCAGCCTTGCTGGGCAGAGACTCCTTGCGCTACTTCCGCTCCCACTTCCTTGGCCAGGGCCAGCCCGTGGGCACGCCTGAGGCCATGGCGGGTGAGGATGGATGAGTCTCCAGAGGCGCTGGGTGGGCAGCCCCAGGCCCCGGACGCCTGTCACCTCAGGGTCTCTCAGGTGTGGCTGCAGCATCCTCTCCTCCAGGAAGTCTTCCTGTCCACCCCAGCCCAGGTACCTGTGGTCAAGGACCAGGTGGCAGGGACAGGGTGAGCACATAGCCCAGGTCCCCGCTGTAAGGACCAGGTGGCAGGGACAGGGTGCGCACACAGCCCAGGTCCCCGCTATAAGGACCAGGTGGCAGGGATGGTGGGGACAGGGTGAGCACGCAACCGAGGTCCCTGCTGTAAGTGAAGGTCGTGTAGCTGGGCTGGAATTCTGGGCTCAGCCCCTCCCTTACTCACAGGCCCCCCCTTCCTGGATGGTAGAGGTGCCCAGACACCACCCTTGTTGCCTGCTCATGGCCTTGGGGTGGGTCCTACCCATCTGGGGAAGCCTGGGGGCCGTAGGGAGCCCAGAGTCAGCCTGGAGGAGGTGGCGCTTTGGTGAGTTTGGAAGGCAAGCAGGGGTAAGCTGCAGGAGGCCAGGAAAGGGTGACTGTGACTCTGGGAGCAGCCGTGGCAAGGCCCTGGGATGGGAGGGGCTTGGCCAGCCACAAGGCCTTACTCCAGCTCACTGCACTCTCAGCTTCCAGCTCCCTGGGACAGGTGAGGTGGCCGAGCCAGGGCCTTGGATGAACCCTGTCCCTGTCCCCCTCTTCCCAGGAAGCGCCGTGGAGCCATCAACAGCAAGCAGCTCACCTATCTGGAGAAATACCGGCCCAAACAGAGGCTGCGGTTCAAAGACCCACACACGCACAAGACCCGCTGCTGTGTCATGTAGCTCAGGACGTTGACCGGGCCTGGTGGCCCTGCCCAGCCCTGCTCTGCCCTGCTCTGCCCAGCCCAGCAGGGGCTCCAGGCCTTGGCTGGCCCCACATCGCCTTTTCCTCCCCGACGCCTCCGCGCACTTGTGTCCGAGGAGGCCCCTGGCCTGTGTGGCCTCTGGGCCTTCTCCTGTCTCTACCGCTCCCTCTGGCAGCGCTGGCCGTGGCTCTGTCTTTCCGAGGTGGGTCAGGCGCCCTCTTCCCTGGACCCCCGCCCGCCCCCTCCCACACCAGCCCAGGCCGGTCTCCTCTGGCCTGTTTGTTGCAGGGCGGGGGTACATTTTGTAACCACTGGGCCCCCCCAGCCCGTCTTCTGCGACCCTTGCCCTGACCTGTTCTCGGCACCTTAAATTATTAGACCCCAGGGCAGTCAGGTGTTCTGGACACTCGAAGGCAATAAATCAGGAGCCGTGGCGTGGCCGTGTGTGTGTGGAGTGGGCTGAGGCGTCAGGCGGGGCGGGCCGGTGGCCTGGGGGCCCTCGGAGGGCTCCGGAGGCCACTGTCGGGATGCTGGGCCGCTGCCCAGAATGGGGCTCCCGCGTGCTCCTACGCTGCCCTCTGGTGGCCGCTCTGGGTCCCTGCACCCCGACCCAGGGGCCGGCCTGCCTTGTCTTGAAACCCAGGCGGGAGCCCTGCTTTGGGCGGGGTGGCCGTGTTGACGGTTCTCGGGACTGTGACATTAGAAGGTGAGGTGGGTCACCAGCATTGTCCTCTGCAGGATGGGCTGGGATTCATTTGGCAGTTTCTCAGGGCCTGTGTCCGGCGGGTTGGTCCCTGTCTTGCCCCAACCAGGTGTCCACATTTCAGGCTCCGAGGCGCAGAGAAGGGTGCAGGTGGTGGCTCAGGTGGAGGAAGGCTCCATCCGTCAGCCCGGGGAGGGAGGGTTCCTCCTGGGCACCTGGGGCTGGATGTGAGAGGCCTGGACCGGGGCCTGCTGGAGGGCGTGGACTGGATGCTCGTGTGTTCCTGGGTGCTGTGTCTGTGTTGGTGGCTGGCCCCACCCTAGGCCAGGGTGCACGGCGGGCATGGTCCCCGCTGGGAGGAAGGTGGGCCTGGGGCTGGCCCCACCCTAGGCCAGGGTGCACGGCGGGCATGGTCCCCGCTGGGAGGAAGGTGGGCCTGGGGCTGGCCCCAGGGTTTGGAGAGCCTAGGAGTGGTCTCTGTCCTGGGGCCCCAGGAGGTTCCAGCAAGAAGCAATTGGGGCAGGTCTGGAGGAGGTCAGTGGATAAGATGGGGAGATGTGGAAACCCCAAAAGCCCTTTCTCAAGCAGCCCTGCCTCCAAGACTGACACACGGCTAAGGGGGCCACAGACCTGGCTCCCCCAACTCCTGTGTGGAGAAAGGGCAACAGCTGTCCCGGATGGTTACTCTCTCCTTTCCTCAAACACATTTGGAACTCAAGTAAATCCGATGCGTGTTGGGTGAAGTTTGCTGTATTTTTTCAATCCACCAGCCAAGTTTTGGGGTCACCTCTGCTGGCCCTGTGTAGCCCTGTCCCTGCCCCAGGAGGCTCACAGTCTAGGAGAGTTGCGGGGAAGACAGGCTGGTAAGCCTCCCAGTTACAGCTAGGGGTGTTCCACCTCGGGGGGTGGCGGGGAGCGGGGGCATGGAGGCGGGGCCTTGGGATACTCCACCTTGGGGGCCTGGGAGACAGGATGCATGGAGGTGGGGCCTTGGGGTGCTCCACCTTGGTGGGGGGCAGGGTTACAGGGGGTGTGGAGGAGGGGCCTGGGGGGCACAGTGCAGAGTACCAGGCTGGGAGGTGGGGGAGATGCTCCATGTGGAAGGACCGCCTGAGCTGAGTGTGGAGTGGGGTCAGCACTGGCCAGGAGGGGAAAGGGGGTGCAGTCTGGATCATCCCATGGGTGGGATGGTGGCTGGCCTGGCAGAATCCCCAGACAGAGGCAGCGTGGGATGAGAGCCCAGGCAGAGCCCTGCAGGGAGGGGCTCTCCAGGAGCTGTGTGGACCCCAGGCCAGGTGGAAACCCAGGCCAGGTGGAAACCCAGGCCGAGGTGGAAGGTTGGGCAGGTAGGTTTCCTGGTGGCTCTCTGGGAGTCCAGGTACCTGCCTCTGGACTCATCCCTCCAAGGGTCTTGGGAGAAAGGTCTTACTGCCCATTTTACAGATGGAACAGCTGAGGCTCAGAGAGCCAAGACTCCTGCCTCAGGCCACAGTGTGTCCAGGGTGGGCCTGGCTGGTTCTGCTGCTAACCCTGAATGGACTGAGAAGGATGTTGATGGGGGTGGAGGGAGACATTGGGGTCCCGACTGAGGGAACTCCGTCCCACCATCAGCCCCCAGCCACTGTGGCGCATCAAGCTGGAGACAGACTGAAGATTGAGCAGCTACCCTGGGTGGAAGCTGCCCTCGATTCGAGGGCCTGCCCAGCCCCCAGGACCCTGGGACCCCGGCAGGCTGTGGCTTGGGCTCAGGCCCCAATCAAGGGGACCCTGCCTCCAGGAGTGGACGGGCGTCTACCTGCAGGGCGCTTCACGGACTTCACAGCTTGTCTCTGTCCCCGGGACCTGACCCTGAGTTTGTCCCCAAGTCCTGCCAGTGTCTCCTGGGGCTTGGCTTGGTCACAGCAGAAGGGCCCCTGGTGGGCAGGGAGCTGACACGCATCAAGCTGCTTTGTTGAATCTAGATCTTTCTTTCAAATGGAAAAACGTTATGCAACCAAGCTCTATTGGGGGGCAGATGGGGCAGGGCTGACCAGGTGGGCACAGCCGGGGGAAGGCCGTTGGGGAGGATGGCCGGAGGTCACTGCTTGGGTCTGGCCGACACCTTCTGGAGGAAGGAGAGCTGGCTGGTGGCAAATTCCCGGATGCTGGGCTCGGGGTCGCTTTTGAGATGTTCAAAAGCTCCAGAAGAGGAGGAGCAGGTCAGAGGTGACCCCAGCCCGGGAGCAGGTCATTGGTGACCCCAGCCCGGAGCAGCCCCTTTACCCCAGCCCGGGAGCAGGTCAGAGGTGACCCCAGCCGGGAGCAGCCCCTTTACCCCAGCCCGGGTGGGGTGGGGTGGGGAGGGG